TTCCCACACTCCAAAGACATGCTGGTAGGTTAATTGGATCCTGTCTAAATTAGCCCTAGTATGTGTATGTATGAATGTAAGTTAGGGACCTTAGATTGTACGCCCCTTGAGGGACTGATGTGAATGTATAATATATATGTAAAGCGCTGCGCAAATTGACAGCGCTGTACAAGTACCTGAAATAAAATAAATAAATACTTAAACTGGCAATTGTGCAGTCGTGCTATACTGTACACAAATTCCATTTTTATAATTTGTTCACACAAACAGAGCTTTCTTTTTGGTGGTATTTGATCACCATTGAATTGGGTTTTCTATTTTTGGGATATTACCAAAAAACTACTGAAATATTGAAAAAAATATATATTTTCTATTTTCCGCTTGTAAAACATATCCAATAAAATCAAATTTTGACATAAATTTAGGCCAAAATGTATTCTGCTATATGTCTTTGGTAAAATAATCCAAATACGTGTAAAGTAATGTAATTGTGATTGGCAATTGGCATTGTCAATTACAGCCAGTGAGCCAATGAGGAGACAGAGGAGGAGAGGCCGAGTCTCGGCTCCATGTGTGAATGGACACATGGAGCAGCGGTTCGGGAGTGCGCCTGCTCAGGTGCCGCCATAGCAAGTTGCTTGCTATGGGGGCTTCCGCAAGGAAGGAGGAGCCAAGAGACCCGAGAAGGAAGAGGATCCAGGCTACTCTGTGCAAAACCCACTGCACAGACCAAGTAAGTATAGACATGCTTGTTATTTTTATTTTTTTTAACTGAACCTTTAGTATCGGTTTAAATGGAAGGCGTTGACAAGCTTTAACTCCTCCCAGACTAGACATGTAGCTAGCAATATTAAGCAAACTAAATGCTACATGTTTCTCAAATGTGAACAGCTCCATCCGCTGTCCATATTATCCATTGCAGGCTGCTTTGCTAGGCATTCAATCAGCAGCACAAACGCACACCAAACATCTGTTTCTAATGCCAGGGTGAACAGGGCTTTTCAGTTTAGTTTTATGCCCACATTCTATATTTTTTTAGCTCTACAGTTCTTCTTCATGGAATTTCTAAATGTTTCTGCCTCTTCTTGTTTTCTACAAATGCATCATTGGCAATAAAAAAATAATACAACAATGGCTGGTATTTCCAACCTATTTTTTAGGCAGATAAGAAGTTTAGAATAACCGATACTGTACATATCAGTGTGTGGAAAGGAATGCAATAAAAAAGAAAACACGTTTTGATAGAGTTCAAAAGCTGGTAAATCCAGTTCTTCAAAAATGTGAGGTTAAATGTCAGCATGATGTGCACTGAATAGTCTACATGTTTTTCAGGTTAATCATGAATGCCATCACTAGTTACAGGAACAATTAACGTGACTGTCCATGTGACAACACCTCAAGACAACACATGGATGGATGGATTTTTACTGCCAATCAAGAATGTCCAGTATGCTCCCGGTGAAAATACAATAGATGGTGTGTAGTTCAACTAACACATAGAGATTATTTTATGGAATCTGAATGATAATTTATTATTTATTCCAGGTACTTATATAGCACCGTCAATGTACATTCCCATCAGTCCCTAACCCTCAAGGGGCATACAATCTAAGGTCCCTAACTCACATTCCTACATACACATACTAGGGACAATTTAGACAGGATCCAATTAACCTACCAGCATGTGTCTTTGGAGTGTGGGAGGAATCCAGAGACCTGGAGGAAACCCACGCAGGCACAAAGAGAACATGCAAACTCCAGGCAGGAGGTGCCATGGCTGGGATTCAAACCAATGACCCCAGTACTGCCAGGTGGAAGTGCTAACCATTTAGCCACTGTGCTGCCCATAATGCAGCCATGTGACAGTGAGAGCCACAAGGAAAAAAGTGTGCGCTTGAAGTGTAAGCCAAAACCTTTTGGGGGGGGGGGGGATAGTGAGGGCTCATGACCCCTTTCAGGTTTTAATTGCTTTCTTTGTATCTGTTAGGGAGATTTAAAGTGACTATTTTCTAAAGTCATAAAAAAAATGTCATACTTACCTGCTGTGTGCAGTGGTTTTGAGGTGTTTTGCACAGAGTAGCCCTGATCCTCCTCTTCATGGGTCCCCTGCCAGTGTTCCTGGCTCCTCCCCCTGCCGAGTGCCCCCATAACAAGCCGCTTGCTATGGAGGGCACTTGTGCAGGCTTTTTCTCCCGCCCCCTAACCCCCTCCTCCCTGGCTGGAACTGACAACAGCAGGAGCCATTGCTGTCTCTGTGCCAAAGAGGACGTTCACTGTTAGAAATGCATTCATTTGAGAAATTTTCCAACCTGCTCTTTCGATTTTTAGTGTCCTTGTAGCTGAAAACGAATGTTTCCTAATGATTAGAAAACCGAATGAACATTCTTAAATTGAAACATGTTAAACTAAAATCTACCAAATGTATTTCCACCTAAACGGAACAGAACACCTAAAAAGTGAAGTTCCACTTCATGTCTCCCTCTTTTGCCACTTTTTTTTTGGGGGGGGGGGGCCTCAGGAACCTATTTCTGGCAGGTACCCGCTCTCACTTTCACTGGAATCACCTAAGCAATTCCAGTAGATGTTCTCCTCCCCTCCCCAACCGAAATCTCCTGGGACACATCACAGGTCCCAGGAGACTGCAGGTCCATTCGTGAAGTGCACCTTGACTCACAAATGCGCAGTAGGAAGCCGGCTGTGAAGCTGCAAGTAGTCACACGCTTGCTTCCCACTGTAAATATGTGCTGGTGACCCAAAGACTGCCAAAGAACCAGCCCAGGTAGGGGCGACACTGAATCCCTGGACAGGTAAGTGACCTTTTATTAAAGTGGTTGTAAACCTCAGACATGAAATATGAACAAAGCATATCCCTCTATAGTGTCTCAATCCAGAGCACTGGAGTGTCATTTCTCTCTACTGCCTCTTTCTTATGCATGAGTCACTTCTGACAAGGTTTCCAGACACCAGAAAACATTGACGGAGAGGAAACTCCAGCACACAGCCTGTGATTGACAGCCTGAGCTCTGTTCCTGTGTGCTGTGTGGAGGGGGGTGTGTCCCTTCCCTACAATCAGCTCTCAGCTCTCCTCACTGAGCTCTGCAGAGAGTAACTTCAGCTCCATGCACCCTGATTTCTGAAAGCTTGCACAAGCGTTATAAAGCAGCACTTTGAAAGGAGGAGAGATGACTGCAGATAAACAGATACAACTTACACAAGAGGATTTATTTAATCTCTGTGTAGCACCTGAGGCCAGTCACTTCACTAAGTATATGTAAGGGATTACAAGAACTATAAAAGTCAGCAGCTACATTATTTGTACCTGTTGACTTTTCATTTTCTTTCAGACTGAAGAACTGCATTAAGTCTCTCTATTTGTCCTGAAGTCCATTGCTACAGGGACTAAAAGGATATATATTTTGTTTCTCATTTGGTTGTCTTTGACAGTCACATTTATTATTCATTCAGTTATATACACACATTCATAGCTCTCTCATGAACACTACAACTCATACTCTGCTCACAAGGTTGCTCGGGTTGTCAAATAAGGATACAATTGGTGTTTTGGTATAGAGCATTGTGCACATGCCCACTTACTTGGGCCCTCAGCTGGACTTGCTGCTCCTAACTCCATTGCTTTCTGCTGCTTTGCATGATCTGATTTCAAGTAATCGGTCTGGTTGACCGTTGCCTCATTGTATAAACATCCTTCAGTCCCACCATGATGGTCCTAGTGACCAAGCAACAAGGGATGCGTCTTTCCTCATATAATAGACTGGTCACCAATGGCTGCTCCTTGTTTGTGAACTGTAGGACACCGATTTCTTGACACATTTTCTCTACTGCTACAGGAAGCAAATTCTTATTAATTGAAAAGTAGGACCCTAACCAAAAAGAAACTACTGGGGCTTTTTTAGGCACCATACCGACAAAACTCCATACACAAATTGTAAAAAATTAGAGCTTTATTAGACATCATTAAAACCACAAATGAGATAGGGAATTTGACCATAGACATAGCTCAATACATAAAAACGTATAGTCATTGCATATTGTGACTATACAGAACACCAAGCTTGTTGCAAAATACTCTAAAGGGTTCCCATACACAATGCAGTGGGTGTATATATAACTTTGTCATTTTTCTCCAACGCATTTCGCAGGACAAAAGCCTGCTTGCGGCATTAAAAAACAACTGAGGAAGCAGGCTTTTGTCCTGCGAAACGTGTCGGAGAAAAATTCTGAAGTTATAACAAACAAGTAAACATTTCGCAGGACAAAAGCCTGCTTTCTCAGTTGTTTTTTAATGCCGGACTCCATCATGTCTTGTGCACACTAGTACACTTATCATCCTTGGGTCATTCCACAGAGTTTGGAATCCCACTTTTGAAAATGTTGTGACTATGATAGAATAGGTTCAATCCTATTATCTAGCTGCCCATATCTTTTTTCCTTTTTTGCAACATTTTATTAAAGGGTCTTCCAGGATTCATATGGTCTTGGCTCCTTGGCTGCTCCATGAAAAATCAAAATGCCATCTTTTGAACTATGTGCTAAATCTCCCTGAGGAAGCAGGCTTTTGTCCAGCGAAACGCGTTGAAGAAAAATTCCAAAGTTATTACATACAAGTTATACATACACCCACTGCATTGTGTATGGGAACCCTTTGACATATTTTGTAACAAGCTTGATGCTCTGTATAGTCACAATATGCAATGGCTATATGTTTTTTTGTATTGAGCTATGTCTATGCTAAATTCTCTATCTCAATTCTGTTTTTAATGGTATCTAATAAAGCTATAATTTTTTACAATTTATTTGTGGAGTTTTGTCGGTATGGTGCCTAAAAAAGCCCCAGTAGTTTCTTTTTGGTTAGGGTCACATTTTTCAATGTCTTTTCATTAAGCGGTGTGGCACCAGTAAAACCCACTATCAAGGGTTGAGGCCATTGTTTATATGTGTCTCTCTCTCTCTCTGTCTTTTTTTGTACAAATTCTTATTAGTTACCTCTCTTGGTGATCACAGGATGTCTCGGCATCTTTGGTTTCGGGTGTTTCCTTTGGCTGATGTGCCATTAAGTAATCCATCTTGTCTTGTAATTCATTATTCTAAACAAGATTGTAAAATTGCTCGTTAGAACCATTTTAAACCTGTATGCACTGTTTTATTTTATCCATACAACAAAAATTCAAGCATACATATGAAACCAATTTTTTTTTTTAATTTGAAGTTGCACTAGTGTGGTGGGATTAATACTAAATGTACAAGTTAAAATCTGAAAACTAGGCAATACTTTATAACATGAGTCACAATAAATACATGAATATCAGCAGTCTATACTAAAACAGACAAATCTGCCATAATAATTGGCTTCTGTCACTGCACTTTAAGAAAGGGAGGTGTACGATTATTCAGGCAAACAATGGCATCACTATAAATCAGCTTATACTTGTCATGCATTACAAGACTGCTGATAATTTGCGAAAATAGACCCAAAACTGTAGTAGTAATGACCAGAAAACACCATAAAACCTGACCTTATGCAAAGAAAATAGACCATAATAAAGCCTATTGATGTCACATACTAAGAGGCTACAAGTGACTGCTATTGGTCTGCAAGTGAAGTCATCTTCAAATAGACCACAAATTCCTCACTGAGGGCAGCTTTACCAGCCAATCATGTAGAAGCATAAACTGTAAAAAAAGATTTGACGTCATACCTCTCCTTCCAAAAGTGCTATCCTTTCCAGCAGCTGTTGAATTAGCAAGTCCTTGTAGTGGACCTTTTTCCTTAGAAGTTCAATCTACGTTGAATGGAAAATCGTTTTTTTAGTAAAAATTCTGTATTTTATTGTACATTGCTTTATCAGTTGATACAACCAGCTCCAATACACTTTATAAAATAGACTCAGGTATTTAAAGTATACTGATTTTATGTGAAATATATTTAATTATCATCCAATAAACCCCTAACTATATTAAATAGGGCCAGCTTTTAATATAGAAGTTAATTAAGAACTATAGAAAAGTCAAGATTGATTTTCTTATCACTTGCTGTCCAGGGTAATTTTTTTAATTTTTCACACACATACTTAATCAGTATTTTTTCCTAGAAAATTAACTAGAACACCCATACATCATATATTCTATGACAACAGAGGCCCTGGAGAATATAACTGTGGATGTTGGATTTTTTTATGTCACATGATATTTGTGCAGCTGTTTATCAAACACAAATTTTCATGGAAAAACACTAAAATGAAAACAAAATCACAATATAATACCTGTTTTTTTGGTAAAATATAAAAGACGATGTTGCATCAAGTAAAGAGATACCAAACATGTCAAAGTTGCACGAGTCCATGAAATGGCAACAAAGTATGGTACCTAAACTTTTTCTTAGGAGATGCTTTAAAAGCCTTTGCTGGCTATCAGTGTAGAGCAGTGTTTCTCAAGTAATGGGTCACAACCCAAAAGTGGGATGTGACCACGGGCAAGTGCTCCCGGGCCTCTCTAATTCCCCTATATCACTCCAGCCTTTGAGACACTTATCAAGAGCAAGAAGCATCCCCAGTTTTCCTATTAGTTATAATTAATTTCATATCTTTCAATTACCGTTTATTTTATTGGGTTTTCACCTCAACGGCACTTTCATTTTCACTAGCACTGTGATAACTGCACTATCCATTTTTGAAGGAAGCCGGTTGTTTACTGTTTAAATAGTGCATATACATTGCAGAATACTGCACAAGTTGTTTAGTGGAATATATTATAATGTTTTGGAAATTAAATTATTTTTGGGTCGCAACTCAATGACCTGGATAAAATGTGGGTCCTAAGATTCCACAAGTGTAGAGTGCAAGATGGGACTAGAATTATTGCTCTCACCAGGGGTAGACTGACCATTTGGAAACTCAGGCACTGCCCGAGGGCCCGGGGCCAGTAGGGGGTCCCATGAGATGACCTTGGTACCTTTTCCATAGGCTTTTTTTGAGTTTGGGCAAGGACGCAGGGGCCCCATGATCCCCTATTGCCCGGGGGCCCCATGAGTTGTCAGTCCGCCCCTGGCTCTCACTCACTGTTTGTGGTGATACACCACATATGTGGTGCAATCGCTGTTTACATATATGTGTGGGACCCATGTGCACATTTGTATTTGTTTGAATCTGTGCAAGGGTGTTGTCAGGGGTGCTTTTACATTTTTTTGTATTATTTTATTTTTTTTATAATAATTTTTTTTTAAATTTTTTTTTTTCACTTAGCCCTGGTTCACACTGATACATGGCAGAATTCACGTGCGAATTCCTCACCGCTGCGGGTGTGTATGTTAAGCTAACAATCCCCTGAAAGTGGTCCGCAAAACGTGGTGGGATGTACAGAATCATATCGCGTAGGTGTGAATACCCATGCGATCCGATTGTAGTGCAGACCCACAAAAAAGGGTCCTACACATTTTTGGTGTGGGTGCGGTGCAAACAGAGCCATACAAAATATATGGCTTCAATAGCACCGCACACAAATCGCATGTGATTTGCACAGGAATGCGGTGCGGTTCCTGTGCGAATCACATGCGATATACCGCACCGCGCATATGTAAACCCAGGCTTAACTTAATTGCTATCAGAAGAGGGTGTTTTAGTGGCCATCCCCATCACTGTAAAAGTGACTGGACAGCTGTAAGAAAAATTATACAAAACTCATGGCTGCAGCCGCCAAGCCTTGAGCTTGTAACCACCTGCTGAGAGGACGATTTTCCACTTTCAGCTGTCAACAAGTGGTTGAAGAAGAGCTAATACTGAATTACCAGATGGGTTATGTAAAAGAGTTTTAGAAACACTCACACAGGAATATGTGAACTTTCAGAAGAAACGGAAGAGATTTTTTAAAATCAAAATGTCCAGTCATTTCTAAAATAACTGTTTAGCTAGTTAAGGTGACTACTTACCTATCATGTTAAAATCAGAACTGTGACTTAAATATTTTTTTTTTGCTTTTATGGACAGAGACTCAATGGGGTTGATTTACTAAAACTGGAGAGTTCAAAATCTGGTGCAGATCTGCACATAAAAATCAGCTTCCAGGTTTTTTTCAAAGCCTAATTGAACAAGCTGAAATTAGAGGATGATTAGATTTTGCGCTCCCCAATTTTAGTAATTCTGACAATTTTTTTTTTATTTTGCGTTTTGTTAGCATTACTTTTCCAACACATAGGCAGTGCAGGGTGCAATCACGGAGATGCAAAATGGTGAGTGCTGGGCACTAGGATTTGGGTTATTGATGCCGGAGGCAGGTGCCACCTGAGGGTGAGGTTTCCCAGAAAATGGGTGTTGCGGTGGAAGAAGAGGACAAAGCCAGAAAGGCACATTTGCCATAATGTTGCCATCGTCCAGTGCATGCTTTTTTTGTGGGGGGTTGCAGTTCCATGTAGGGACTTTGCAAACAAAAAAGGAGAAAAATGTATTAATGTAAGCTGTTGCAATTACAGATTGGCTATTCTCACCTCTTCAATCATGTGCTTTACTTTTTTCTGTTGGCAGTGAACCATGTCATCTAGGTGCTTGATTCTCTCTCGTAAACTTGTTGCAGTCTCTTCTAAATTCTGGGTCCTGTGAGAACAGAGCCAGGAATATTGCTTGACAGTACAAAATAAATCTATAGATCACATACTAAAAAAAGTACAGAAAATCGACAATTATGATGATACAGTGTAAGACACGAAGATGTAGCCGGAAAGTACAACCATACCCGATCCCAAAAAGACAAAATAATATAGAGAACCACAAGAGGTTTAACGGGTGGCAGGGGCCTTGATGGGTACAATATAAACAACACCGTATTTATGTAAAAATGATTCCAAAACTTTATTAGAAAAAGCAAATAAAATGCAATATCCAGGCCAACAATCTTTGATACATTAAGAATTTAAGACCATTTTTCCTTAACATTGTGCATAGTAGTGACAGTGTTCAAACCCTCCCCATTTGGCAGGACATATAATATATTTACAGTCAACAAAAACCCAAGCCAGAGTAATTTTAAAAAAAAAATTTAATTTTTTTACCTGTGGCACAACCCATCACATGTTGCGAACAATCAGGCATGGAAGACAAGGCCAGGCCTTCTGCCATGGGAGCTGAATGAAATTTACATTCTAGAGAGCCCAGGCATAAATTATAGGTCCAGTAGGCATGCCAGATTGATGTGTAGACACACCTGCAAGTGCTCCCTATGCCATACCACTAGAACTTTGATAACTTTTCCTGACTACACATTTCCATTTAAGTCGCAAACCTCAGCTTTCACGCTGTTTTGCAATATTGGCTGATCTGTACTAGATGTGGCAATGACTAAAACTTAAAAAAACTAAAATAAAATCAAGTTTCAGCAACTGTAGCAAGAAATTCATTAGTAAATTAATTGAAGTGCACCCTGGTTCAATGCAAATCCTAGGTTAAGACAATAGAAATAAGTAAGATATGGGCAGACTAAATGAATTAGTCCTGCCATCTGTCTGTAACAGTCTCTGACACGTATATGTTTACCTTGCTCTCTCTGATGCTGTTACCTCCATTTTAGCATCAAGCCTCTGTATTCGCTCTTCATGGCTTGTTAATTGCATATGTAACTGTTCCCTTTCCTGTGGATGGATACATTTTGATCACATTTTAAAATCAACATGTTTTTCACAATGTAATATCATGTATATACAATATATAGTAGAATACACACATGCTATCAATAAAATGTATGGATGACAAGAAAATGGTCATTCTGGTACCTGCTGCATTCTCTGGACTAAGCCGTCAAGTTCGGAGATCTTTGCATCGCGTTCTTCTATCTTGGATTCTGCTACTCGAACCTTCTCGGTGGCATCTTCAACAGCCTGTATATACTGTTTTGTCTGAACCTTTGAATAAATGCAAACACATTTTTATTGAATTTGATATATAGAGATTGAGCGCAAAAAAATAGGGTGAGAGCTGGTTTGAGGTCTGATAATGTGCACTTAGATGCACCCCAACTGTATTTCATATAGCATAAGCTGGTCATTCACCAGACCCACCAAGTTTTGCAGAGTCTTAATTGCTTTTCTAATAAAATGTATTTATTGCTATATTTCTCCCATCAGCTCATATCTCACAGTTATTACCTTTTGTTCCTTGTGCCCCTCTCAGGAGCAGGGTCCTCCTAACTCTCTTGTATTGAATTGTGTTGATACTGTGCTGTCTTCCTTATTATTGTAAAGTGCTGAGCAAACAGTTGGCGCTATATAAATCCTGAATAATAATAATAATACCGTATATGTATTTATTGCTTTATTATATATTATGATAAGTGTTTACTTCTATTTTAAAATATATAACATTTAAAATATATTGATAATATATTATATATAGAGTATATATAGAGTATATATTTATAAACTTATAATATAATTTAAAATGTATAATACTTATAATTATACTATTATAATTTATATAACTATATGATAGAAAAATTATAATTTATAATATTTATTATAATTTATGCATATTTATATATATCTTATCTGTTTGTTTGTTTGTTTGTTTATTTATTTATTCATTTATAGCTTTTCTAGTAAAATTACTCAATAGCTCTGCCTCCTATTCATGTAAATTGTCAATAAATAATTATTGAAAAATAACGGTGGCAACTACATCCCAAAAACACCAATTGGGGTGCATAGTTTCACAGATTATCCCAAGATGTAGTGACAATTATAAAGGAAAGGATATTCAGTACATCTATCCCTATGTATTTGTCTTCTATATTAGTGCACATCTAAAATCGCCATCTACTTCCTACAACCCTTCTCCACAATTAAGATAGACAAAATCTGTTCAATGTACACATTATATACAGAATTATATTATATATTACATACAGTATATAATAACAGACAGTACAGTTAACATGTAGGAATGTTTTATCATGCCTTAAAGCTGAATTCTAGGTATGATTTTGTTTTGCAGAGTTACGTTGGTCCAAATTGGCACAATGTGCATATGCAGGGGCGGACTGACAACTCATGGGGCCCACGGGCAATAGGGGGTCATGGGGCTCCTGTGTCCTTGCCCACACTCAAACCACATCCAAAAAAGCCTATGAAAGGTACCAGGGGCATCTCATGGGGCCCCCTACTGATCCCGGGCCCTCGGGCAGTGCCGAGTTCCCAAATAGTCGTTCCGCCCCTGTGCATATGCATATCTCATACCTGAGTGATGACCATGGAAGTCAAAATCACTGTAGTAGTCAAGGCTACTACAGTGATAGCAGCAACCATCTAGGTCGTGTGCCAAGTGGCTTCCCTTTTGCATAGTGACCACTGACCACAGAGGGTCACTTGCTTTGCACTGCTGCCCTTCACAGACTGCATTGTACTCTTTTCAACAAATATAAGGCATTCTCTGATTGGATAAAGTGTAAAGCAGTGATGTCATGATCTCCAACTCGTCCAATCACAGAACGCCTTGTATTTATTGAAAAGCATAGACGTTGATTCGTGAATGGAGGCAGTGCTGAGCAAGTGACCCCCTGTAGTGGGGATCATGACGTCACCGTCCCATCTCTCCTTCTCATCCAATCACACAAATTCTTGTTATAATTTAAAAAAATACATGGTGATCTATGAATAGCGGGAGTGCTGAGTGAGCGACCTCCTGTAACTACTAAGCAGAAGGGCAGCTGCTCAGCAGCAGGAAGATTGCATTTATCACTGTACTAGTGCCAACTACTACAATAATTTGCAGCTTCCACAGTGATTACACAGGTATGAGATACTGTATGCATACCTACATTGGACCAAACTCAACCAAAGTAACTATGCAATAATAACCATACCTAGAATTTAGCTTTAAACCCTCGCCTGTCTGTCATTCACCACATTCTCATATAGAAGTCAATGAATATAAAATGTCAGGTGTAGTAATATGCAAAAAGCACAACACCTTTTTTTCTGACATAAGGGGGGAGCTGTACTAAAACTGGAACACAGAGCATCTGGTACAGCTGTGCATAGTAACCAATCAGCTTCTATGTTTCATTGTCAAAGGTTGATTGAACAAGGTGAAGTTAGAAGCCGATTGGTTACTATGCACAGCTGCATCTGATTCTGTGTGCTTCAGTTTTAGTAAATCTCTCCCACAATGTCCTCAACCTCATTTGTAACAAATCTAAAGGAATCTGGAAGTTTCAGTATCAGCCTGTCAGATACAGAAGCCAGGGTAGCATAAACCAGCACACGCTGTTCAGTGCAGCATCAGTTCCGGGAGATCTGGAACAAGATGCCTTTTTTTTTAAAGGCGTCTGCATCCCATAATCGTTTGACAATGCAATTTAGTCTATGCTATTTAAGAACCTACAATAAGAGCTTCTTTATCTGCATTAAATTTATGTTCCTCTTCCTTGAGCTTTTGTTCATATTGACTGTACAATTTTCTTGTCATCTCTCTTAAGACGTTAGCATTGGCTTCCTGAGAAGATTCTATCTGTTAAAAAAAAAAAAAAAAGAGAGAAAAAAATCAGTATATTAAAATGTGCCAAGATAAAGACATGCTATAAACTTCCTGTTTGAGATACTTGTGTTACCAAACCCACAACAGTAAAACCAGTCTGTATGTGCAGTAAAACATGCTTGTTATACCCACTATCCACCCATCCATAGAACAGAGCCTTGGGGGCAAGATGCACATGCTCGGTTTGGCGTGTATTGCTAGAGAGTTTTGTTTTCTTGAGAGAGTGCATGTGATCAGCACAGGCCCAATCAGCCCTATACTAGCAGGGGTTCAGGGGTCCTGCAGCCTCATAGGACAATCATGGGAGAATTCAAACTCTTCCCACAAGTTTTAACCAGTGCTCTGCTGGACACTGATAGAAGTCACAAGACTGCTCTAACTGCTGATGAGAAAAGGTATTTAGCACTGTATATTTACTAAAATAATTGCATTTTCATGTTCTGTTTACTGTGGGAGATCAGACATAGTGAATGCAGGGTCCTGGGTTTAGTAACACTTTACGTTTAACAATACAGCATCACAAAGTGCAAAACAATCTAAATAAGATTTGGATGAGTTAGTATTCCGCCTGGGAAAATTGTCTTTGAAAAGGTACACTTAAATAGAGCAAATTCCCTTTTTCATTTCTTTTTAACCAGTTGCCCTCCAGAGGATTTACCCCCCTTCCTGACAAGGCCATTTTTGGCAATAAGGCGCTGCATTACTTTAACTGACAATTGGGTGATCATGCGACGCTACACCCAAATGAAGTTTATGTACTTTTTTTTCCCACAAATGGAGCTTTCTTTCGGTGTTATTTGATCACCTGTGCATTTTTAAATTTTTGCGCTATAAACAAAACAAACTACAATTTTGAGAAAAAAACAATATTTTTGACTTTTTGCTATTAAACATTTCCTGTAAAAATTTTAAAAATCAAATTTCATCATAAATTTATGCCAAAATGTATTCAGCTACATGTCTTTGCTAAAAAAAAAAATCCCAATTCATGTAAATTCATTGGTTTATGTGAATGTTATAGCATCTATAAATGGCGGCATACAGTAGATACTGGGATTTTTATTTTAATGGCCGCGATCAGTGAATTATAGCGGGGCTGCGGCGGGCATTTCTACACTGGGGGGGAACTGACTAATTGTTACTGACATCCCCAGTGACACTAATACAGTGATCAGTGCTAACAAAAAGCACTGACACTATACTAATGACACTGATCAGGAAGGGGGTAACATCTGAGGCAATCAAAGGGTTAACTGTGTACTGTTTTACTGTGTGCTGTGTGTGTGTTTTACAGTGTAAGCACATTGCTTTGTATTGCTCTGCAATGCAGAGCAATACAAAGCAGTGTGCTGGAGCTGACAGGGGAGGAAACTGTATTGTTTACATACAGACCTCTCCCCCATCAGTGATACTCGGCGATCGCCGGATGCTGGCAGGGAATTACCAGCCAGGACCTGGTGATCGACAGCTGAAGCCCCCAATGATGGCGCAGGTAGGGTGTTCGCGTGCCCCTTACCTGGGTATGCAAAATCACGTATATATACGTGATTTTGCACAGCCGTGCCACCCTGTAGTAGTTTTTCTGCTATAGGGCAGAGGGCAAGCAGTTAAAAAAAGACAATCACAGTAACAACCTAGAGTCATGGTCTACATAAGCCTTTTTCAACCAAGGTTCCTCTAGAGGTTGTTGTTAAGGGTTCCTTAAGCAATTTTCACAGGAGCATTATTTCCAGTGGCCATCACACTAATTTACCATGAACTGTAAATATGAAAATTTATAGCAGTAGTTCCCTCAGACTGGGAAGGTATTTTTAAGAGTTTCTAAGTATTAAAAAGGTCGAGAAAGGCTGGTCTTCATAATACCAATTCAGTTTACTGTATGTATTTACCTTGATTTTTAATTGCTGATTTTCTGCTTGTGCAACATCCAGCAGCTTCTGTTTTTCCTTTAATTTATCTAAGGACTCATCATAGGAATGTCTCAGGCTCTTTGCCTCATCTCTGATATTGCAGTTTTCCAGAGTCATATCTATCAGTTTTTTCTGAAACAGACACAAAGACATGAATAATACAGCATGTATTTCAATTTATGTAACCTGGAAGTGAATCATTTGGAACTATTCCTACATAGCTCCCAACTGTCCCTGACTATGAGGGACTGTCCCTGATTGATTTGGAACAAAGTCCCTCTGTCCCTCTTTCCTCACCGTTTGTCCCTCATTTTGCTCTGATCTATATAGTTGTATATAAAATGCACTTTTTATCTTTCAAAAAGTGTTCCCCAGTGATAAACCTTTCATCTAATTTCTAAATTGATGCCTTTGTAAATTTCAAAAGCCAATATAAAGGAATAGTAGTAGTAAAAAAAGTCACTTGTAAGTTTAACTAATCTTTTACTGGAAAACACCTTTCCAGCTAAATTGAGATATCCTTCATCCACCCCCTCATCTGTTTACTTATTTCTGTTGCAGAGCCATGGCCTTCCCCAGGGTTTCCAACCAGTTGGATGAAAATCTCCTCAACTGCCTCTCTATACAGCCCTATTGAAGTCAACAGGAACACGAGTTTTGAAGAGATCATCTGACTGGCTGGAAACCCCGGAGGAGTCTGCAGCTCTGAAATAGAAATAAGTAAATAGGTTGAGGGGAGGGGGGATTTAGCTTAGGTGGGAGAGTGGATTTAGTGACAGTTAGCAAAAATTCTATCACTCCACTGCAAGCACCCACTGTAATCTTCTCTTCAACGGCAATGACTGATGGATAGAGCACCCACACAACAAAATACTTATTCCCATTTCTCCATGGAACATGGGAAGAATGGCATTTACAAAACAGAGGTTTTCTAAGTCAGTTGAACATTTTGTATGGAATAACGGTCCAAAGCACCTTGGCTAACCAAAAATACTTTGATGCGCAGCAAACTAGAGTTGATATGAGGCACGCAAAACATTATTTTATTAGTTTCTTGGAATCTATCAAAATGGATTCTTCTACACAATATGTCTATAACTGTGGAAAATAAGTTGGCCTTACGAACTCTAACCCCTATAAAATAAAATTCACTCCACCATAATCTAAAGATTCCACAGCAAATTCCCCTTTCTGTTATAATTCCTCCATATTGCTAACTTGCTAAAATATATGGAAAAGTGGAAAAAAACAGCTGTACGTGTTGAAATGGCAATGGCTTCCAAAGCTGACTCTTCTGCAAAAAGAGTCAAGCAAGCCTAAAAAAGTGAATACCAGTTTATTAGCAGCACTGGCTTAAACTGTAGTCAAAACATATGACAATAACCTTTTAACTGTCATTCTTGCCAATCAAAATGATGCTTAAGGTGGCTTTCTTGAATCTCACATACCTGTGTGTCCAATGAGGAAGCATTTAAAGAGCTATTAATGGAACTAAGACTGTCTATGGCAGATGCCTGAGTCTGGGAATGGTGCTCCAAGAACTCTTGCTTTGCTGTTGAAACCTGAAATTGAAGGAAACAATATATAAGGAAGACTAAAAACATGCAATGATTTGTATTGATGGCTCTTCAGATATCATATCTCATATCATACATAATATCATATACATGTAATGTTCTCTGGACTCATGAACTTTTAGGAATAATGGGCCAAACAAGTAAGAAGAAACTAACCCTTTCTGATTTATAAAAAATAAAAAACAGAACAAAGAAAACTTGAGCAATTTAGTACACTAAGCCTGGGTTCACACTTGCGCGGTGCAGCATATCGCATGTGAACCGCACCGCATTCTTGTGCAAATCACATGCAAATTCTGTGCGGTTCGATTTGAGCCATACATTTTGTATGGCTCAAATCACACCACATCTGCACCAAAAAGGTATAGGACCCTTTTTTTTTTGGTCCACACTAGAATCAGATTGCATGGATATTCACAGCCATGCGATCCGATTCTGCACATCGCACCGCATTTTGTGGACCAATTTCGGGGTGTTGTTAACTCAACATACACACCCGCAGCAGTTCACATGAACAGGGTACGATTGTGATGCGGAGCAGAATTTCCACAGAAACCGCTGCGATGTCCGCACCGCATCAGTGTCAACCCAGGCTTAACATGCACATTCAACAGTTTCCTAACAAGTAAAAATTGCTATCTATCTTGGTATCTATGAGATTAAGTGGTTTTTCCTTATATTTTAATAATACGCTTGCTCATCTGCTCTCCAAAGTGTTATATTGTAAAGTGTAAACTTTCTAGCTGATCCCCTTTCCTTCCTAATACACTTGAAAATAACACAAATACTTACTTTCATTTCTTGTGTGAGACGCTTCATTTTTTCTTTCATTTCATCATATTCTCCAAACATTTTCTCTCGTATTTTTTCCAGGGTCACTCTCACCTGTAGGAACATTGAAATATATTGATGTTTGTAATGCTTTATTGTGTACTAGACTATGTTTTATTGGGGTTCCTGCTCTTCCCTTGTTTTTGTCAATCCATAACTCATACACATTTCAACTATGTGTATAGCCCAAACTGTCTCCCAACCAGAAGTTTTAACACTTCCAGACATACAAAATAATTCTGGCTTTATATTCACTACTCTTTTGAAGGCTAGGTTCACACCTATACAGTTTGCATTTGATCCGTTTTTGCGGTGCATTTTGCGCTTTTGCACACACGTTTTTGATGCTTTTTTGATGCATTTTGTGTTTTTAGCATTTTTATGAAATTTTTTTTGGACAACCTCTTGCTGGACAAATTAAAATGCAAAGTACATCAAAAAACACGTAAAAAAAACCCACAACTACATGCATTTCTGCAACGTCTCCATTGAAGTATATTGAATCGAAACATACGGTTTTGCATTTACAAAAATTCCCTGACCCTTTCCAAAAATTGCATTGGTTGGAAATGCAGAGATGTGAACTTCACCCATAGGAAATCTTGCTCTGCAAAACACAAAATATACTGCTAGCATTAAATATTAATTTAATAATTTCCTATTTTACTAATGAAAATAATATTTGGCCCTAGGCCATCAATTTTGGGTGGAAGACTGGTGCCACTGGAGGCTGCCTAGTGGCAGATTACTGTGTGGAGGGTATAGAAGGAATTGCTTGTAATGGGTTAAATCCCAGTTGTAGGTGGTAGGTAATAGACTCTGTTGGGGTCTAGGGCTGCTACCTTTCTGATAATGACAATAGGGACATTACCGCAGGGAACACTTGGGTGATTGGAGAGAAGCTTCCAGTGTTCGGGAAAATGTCTCATTTGATGATTTTTTTATTAGTTGTTTATGTAAGATAAAAGTATACAAGTGGAGCCAATGCATTTTGGGGGAATTGCCCCCACCCCCCTCCCTTCTTCAGGGCTGTATTTGTTAAAGAATTGTTATACTCTGGGAGGATTAAATATATTCGATCGGCAGCACTGCAGTATGCCAGAATTGTGGAGCAGAGGTACTCCTCTACAATCACCAAAGTGCAGCCCAGGACCAGACAAAAACAGCCCCATTCAAATCAGGAAGGCACAAGAACTTAGGCAAAGCCCTGTCATCAACCAGGCTAGTTTCAACCCGGTAGGAAAAGGGACCCTCCCACCATTCCCACATTATTACATCAGGAGAAATACTAACCGGCACCCCCCTGTTCAAAGGCACAATATTTTAGTAACCATAAAAATATATTTTGTGTAATCTTAAAACCAGAAGGATGTCCTAGCTCCAATTTCAAATGTGTAACTTCTGTTTTCATGGCTGCTATGCAAACCTTAGAAAAAACATGTAAATCAGCTTTCCCAATAGTATAATAAGTAAAATATCTTGGTACTTGATACATGAGAAACTATGTAATGCTACATACCTACATTTCAAAGGGATTGAACACCATGCATAACACATTACATAACTCCAAACATAGGCCAAACATTACTCATTATCTGATGAAGCAAGACTATTCTACCTTGGGTCTACCCCTCCTCATCCCTTCCCTATCTACCCTTACCTTTCCTCTCTCTTACCCTCTTTTCTAACCCACTTTTCTTTCTCATTCTCCTACTTTTCTTTACCTCTCCCACTCCTTGCACCTTGACCCTTTCTGCCCTCTCTCTTTTCCATTGCTCATCTTTCTTTTTTGTATATTGGCACTTATGGCCTTATCTTATAAGCCAACAAGCCCATAATCCACAGGTTCATTACCTCGTGTAAACAGACATTTATTACATTTCCGAGGACATTCATTATCAGTCCAGTCAGATATTTTCATTTTAACTATAGGTGCATTCTGTGTATTCTTATGTTACTGTTTGGTATGTCCATCACTGTAGTAAATGTAACCTTTGTACTGGAGTGCCTAATGCACTTTTTGTGATAAAAATCTATTGTAACAGAAAACATATTTTGTTCATAGGATTTGACAATTTATGATTTTTTGTTCAGTTTTGTCACCACCCAAAATTGGGTATACTGAATTATTTTAAACAGAGAAACTCTCCATTGCAATTTCATAAGGATTGTCATTTTTTTTTTCGTTTGTGCCATATTTTGCCCTTTTTTTTGTTGTTGGTATTTTACTAATTTATTTGATTCTAGCTATTTTTCTTAATTTCTTTACTCTGCATTGTAAATCTGCTGCTCTTGGTTATTTAAACTGGCTAAAAACAAGGAAGACAGTCTAAATTTTTGTAAGGCGCTGTGCAAACTGTTGGCGCTATATAAATCCTGTATAAATAATAAAATCATCTAAAGACTATAATGTAATTCTATTATATGTTCACTGTACTAGGAGCACATACTACATATGTAAAAGATAATATAACACTTTGTTTTTATTCAAGATGTCAAAATTGGTGCTCTACATAGTCAGAGAAAAATGTAAGGAATACAAATATCATGCCCCTTAGTTCTCTTATAGCCGGAAAGATCACCCAAGAGCATTCATGAAATGCCTGTTATTAATATTCAAGCAACTGATGCTTTATAAGTTTATTTTGCAAGATTTTTCATTTAACCTAGGTTTTTCTCATTTACAGCATTTCATATGAAACTATTTCTCACAGTGAACCTATGAAATGCAGCATGACCAGAGGGATGATGGAAATACCAAATTTATCATATGTTGAACTACCAACAGGCAATCAGATGCATTCAGTACTGCAGTCAACAGGCTAGAAATAAGGAGCTGAAAGTAGGTTGGAAATATTACAAAAGAAAGATAAATAAGATACACTGTATGTACTGTGACAGTAGGCAGGTGAAATCACCTGGTTGCGTCCTGGATGGACGATATATTTGTCCGAGGTTCAGGGTTTATGGGGATTTGTACCACTAGAGGGAAGTGCTGAGTCCTTCAGCACTGAGATAATGAGCCCAGCTGAAGGTAGTGGGCTCATTAACACCTGTATAAAGCTTCCCAGAGTGCTTAGGGAGTGGCTCCACCCTGGAACCAGATCTGTGCCTGAACTGTCTGGGGAGCTGACCTGTTATCTGTGTGCAGAGAGACCAAAGCCTGTGTGGCTAACCTCCCAGTACTAGCAACTAGGTATAGCAGCAGGCTGTACCTAGTGGGTAGCTAGGGAAAAGCTGTTGTTGCAGTAAGTAGCCAAGTTGGCCAGGATTTATTTTGATGTTTCTTTTTGGTTTATCATTTTTTCTGTAAATATTGTAAATAAATTGCACCTGTTTGTTTTCACCTCCACTATTGTTGTGCTGTGCCTATCTTTTTGTGTTGTGCACCCATCCAGGGGGTCACACACACCCGCTGCCGAGCTAACCTTGTTACATATGGTGGAGGATGCAGGCAGTTGTGGTAACTAAAGGCCAGCATGGAGGAGATAATCAGACAGTTGGCTCTGGCAAATGCCAATCAACAACAGTCAAATGCCAATCAACAGCAGGCAAATGCAAGTTTCCAGCAGAGCATTGCAGCCCAGCAGAAGGCCTTGGAACAAGCAGAGGTCCGCCATAGGGAATTGCTGGTGCAACAGGACCAGAAACACCAGAAACAAATTGAGGCTGTTTTGAAGCAGCTCCAGCAGAGGCAGCAGACTGAGGCTGGTGATGATTCTGTTAAAACACCATCATTTTCTGTGGGCCGTTTATTGCCAAAAATGACTGGAGAGGATGATCCGGAGGTGTTTCTAACCACCTTTGAAAGGACTGCTGAAAGGGAAAAGTGGCCTAAAGAACAGTGGGCTGGATTGATGGCCCCATTATTAACTGGAGAATCGCAAAAAGCTTACTATGACCTGGAGCCGGACCAAGCCAAAAACTATGATGTGCTAAAAGTGGAAATTTTGGCCCGGTTGGGTGTTACCCTCGCTGTCCGTGCTCAGCGGGTACATAAATTGGACTTTTCGGCTTGGGAAACCTCCCAGGTCACAGATGTATGATCTCATTCACCTGAGCAGGAAGTGGCTGCAGCCAGAGACTTTGACCGCCCCAAAAATTGTGGAACGTGTCGTCATGGATCGGTTCCTAAGGTCTCTGCCTAATACTATTCAAAAGTGGGTCAGCCATGGAGACCCAGAAACTGCAGACAAGCTGGTGGATCTAGTGGAGAGATACTTGGCTACTGAGAACCTGACCTCTTCTTCCAGAGACTCACGGACTTTCCACCCTAAGACCAGACCATCCCCAGCGGCAGGTAAGATGACTACAAGGGGTGAGGGTGGAGAGAGTGAGAGGGTGGGAGTATTACCCAATGTCTGGCAAGAGCGGCCAGGAAGGCCAAGGCCGCAAGAAGCGGTGAAAAAAATTATTTGTTACCGCTGCCGGCAAGAGGGACACATTGCAGCCAATTGCCCAGTGGTGGTTGAGCCTATGCAGTGTGACTTTCTGAGCAATAGACGTCAGTCGCTGTTTGCGACAGTGGTATGCACGGCCAGCCCGGGCACTGAGAAACATTTGTGCAAAATGACTGTTAATGGAAATTGGATTCAGGTAGCCTGGTAACCTTGATAAGAGAGGAGATGGTCACTACAAAGGTCTCTGGGCATAAAAAGGTGGCAGTGATTTGTGTGCATGGGGACACTAGGGAGTATCCCCGTGGCTACTGTGTTTTTTTGAGACCCCCAAAGGTAACCTGTCTCATCAGGTAGGATTGGTACCTCATTTACCACATGATGCCATTGTGGGGAGGGATTTTCCAAAATTCTGGGAACTCTGGGATTGTTCTGACCCCCCCACTGTCTCCCCTGCAGACCAGGAAGGTGAATCCCAGAAAGCGTCTGAGTGTGGTGAGGTCTCTCCCAAGTTCCCCTTGTCGGTACTAGCTGGGGAGACCCAAGGAACTGGGGAGGAGCCCGCCTCCTCAGATGAAAATCTGCCGGTTGTGGATTTCTCGGACTTAGAGGTGCATAGGGAAAATTTTGCCACCGAACAGCTGAAAGACCCCACGC